GAAACAATTTAACCGGAATGGTGAAGCACCGCGCCGGTGAGGCGCGACACGGGGACGTAACGGTTAGCCGATCCGCATCTTATGCGTCCGGGAATAGCTCCAGCAACACCCGATGCCAGTCGTCGTCGTGGGCGCGGCCGCGTGGCTCGTCGTCGCCGGGGAGGTCCCAGTGCTCCTCGTCGAGGAGGCTCCAATGCTCCTCGTCGAGGAGGTCGTCGACGGTCCTCCAGTTGGCGACGTCCATCCAGTCGTGCTCGTCGTCGTCGCCGTCGTCGTCGTCGTCGTCGTCCTCGTCGTCGACGTCGCTCGCTCGGGGGCTTGGCCGGGAGCAGGCGGCAGAACTTACGGCCGCGGGGAGCTCCTCGGGGAACAGCTCCGGCCACAACCGGTGCCAATCCCCGTCGGGGACGCGGCAAAGTGGCTCGTCGTCGCCGGGCAGGGACCAGCGTTCCTCGTCGCTGGCGTCCTCCCAGGGGCCGACGTCCTCCCAGGCGGCCTCGGGGTCATCGCCGCCGTCGCTGTCGTCGTCGTCGCCGCTGTCGTCGTCGTCGCCGCTGTCGTCGTCGTCGCCGCTGTCGTCCTCGACCCATCCCCTGGTGGGCAGGTAGGGCTGGTCCCGGAAGCCACCCCCGATGAACCAGTTGATGCGGTGGTCGGGCAGGATGACGACGCCCAGGTCGTCGGTGGAGGTGGCGACGGTACGGCCGGACGGACGGCCGGACGGACGGGTCGGACGGGGTCGGCACGGGCCGACGGATCCTCTCGCGGCGTGGTTGGTTGCGGTGGCGACGTGATCGCCAGCGGTGCGGTCGGCGGCGCGGTCGGCACGGGCGGCTGCAGCGGCGTCCTCATGCACGCGGGGTACTGCGCCCACGGCAGGCACGACGACAGGATGGAGTATGCCATTTCCATGTTGCTGGGTGGAGACGGTGATGTAGAACGGATAAATACAACAGAAAGAGAGAGAGCGCGCCACATAGGGCGTGAAGCGCCGATTTTAAACGCGGCATGCGTGCGTTGACCAGCGTATATACGTGCGGTAATATATATATATTGATTTATACCTATATAACGGCATACCACCACCACAACTACAGGAGCTACCGAGACGCGCGAGACTCCTAGGTCTCCGTGACACGAGCGTGCGACGCGTACTATAGCCACGGTATGCTCTAAAACTATAGTAATTTTAGTGGTGACGACGAAGTGTGACCATCTCGACGCCCTCCGCATCGTCGCCCGTTTGCAGGGGATGGTCGAGCGGCTTGGGGATGTGCGGCGACGGTGGTGTGCGGGGGGCAGTGGGCTGAGGAGGGCCGGAAAGGAACGGTGTGGAGGCGGCAGCGACAGCGTGACCAGCGAAATCGAACGTGGGGTTTGTGACCGGCATGATCGTACGGAATAGCGGTTGACGGCGGCACAAGGTTGGTAAGAGATGCGGCGGGGCGCACCAATAATACAACACGGCGCCTATGGCCAGCGCTATAGCGCTAAGTGTCTGAACGCGCAAGCTGCGTAAGCGTAAGCGTAAGCGCGTCTTGCGCAAGCTGAAGCGCTTGAAATGGCGAAGTGTCTATACTACAACTTGTTGTGTCACAGCCTGTTACCGAATGGTATGCAATAACATTGTCCATAACGAACGGTGGGTAGTTAATTGCATAAACAGGAATGTACTTTGGCTTCTCTGAAGTTTCACAACTCATCCATATTTCAGATGGTAGGTGTTTACGATGACCCACAGCAAGAACAAGGACATCTGTGTCACGACATTGGATAACCACACGGCTGTAGCCAACTTCCTTGGCCTCCTTCGCATGTAGTAGCTGCTGCTGCTGCTGCTGACACGGCTGTAGCCAACTTCCTTGGCCTCCTTCGCATGTAGTATGAGCCGAGTATCTGCCTCCTCGTGGCTAGATTTCAGCTGTGAGATGTCACTTCGGCATGACGACCAAGCCTGATCTGCATCGTCGAATCCACCTGCGATTATCAGTTCATGCCCTTCTGATTGGTTTTTGGCACTCGTCATAAGTGCTTTACTCAGAAACGAAGCCAGCTCTGCTTTGTTCTTGGAATGAGTGATAAACTGTTTCTAGGTCTGTGGTAACTTGACATTTCTTGAATCTATCACCCTTCTGATTGGTCTCATCAATCCAGAACGTGTCCCATCCTTGATGGATGTCTCCAAATATTTGTCGAACAAGACATCAACTCGAGAATATCCCTTTCCAAACTTTCCTTTCACAATGCCTGAAAAGACGTCTGCAAGATCCCCAAAGGTACTGGCTTTTTCAGGCTTACCAATGGCTTGAATGAGGGCTGGTGCATCTATCAGGAGACAGGTGGGAGACTGACTCTTGGGTAGGTTTGTCACTATTTTTGCAGTTGTTTTCTCGGTGAGGATGTCTTGGAGGTCCGCTTTGTTCTTGGCAGACACAAGCTGTCGATTTGTCTTTACAAGGGAAAGTGGAACTGGAGAGAGTTCATGTTTGAAAATATTTTGCAAGTTAACGGCTCTCCCACTACCTGAGGCTACCAGAAGTCGACGAAAAATATCTTTTTCTGCCTTTACCTCAATCACCTTGTCTTTCTGGACTGGGACTTTCACCTTGTACATTGTTGCCAAAGTTTTTGCCTTATTCTGAGGAATCCTAGAATAAAAGTCAACAGAATGGTCTTTGAGGCGTGACTTGACAAAATTTGTGACTAAGCTAGTACCCTTCACTTCAGCAGAAAGTAGCTCATCCCT